ACCTTCAGAAGCATGGCTTCTGCTGAAAGATCAGAGCTTAATCATATTTGCTTGCTTTTTTAAGTAACACTTCTCTTTTCCCTACCTGCTTTCAGGATTCTCTATTTATCTTTGATTTTGAACAGCTTGATTATGATATGTCTTGGTGATTGGTGATTTTTTGGGGGGTGTCTATCCTTCCAGGGGTTTGTTGATCTTCTTGAATGACTATCTTTTCATTTTTCAGGATGTTAGGGAAATTTTCTTCCAGCAACCCTTCAACTAGCTCCTCTGTGGTCTTCAATGATTCTTACTGTTCTGGAATTCCAATAATTCTCAAGTTATTCCTCTTCATGTTGTCCACCATGAGTCTTAGACTTTCTTCATGTTTTTTAGTCCTTTTTTCTTCTTGCTTTTTTATCTTAGCAGTATTGAAAGATTTGCCTTCCAGCTTGCTAGTTCTGGCTTCCATCTCTTCAGTTCTACTCTTTTGCCCTTTCAGTGTATTGTCCTTTCCTGATGTTGTATTATTAAGTATTTTACCTGTTTTTGCAGAATTTGAATTGTTTCCAATGCTATTTCTATCTTATTTGATTGTTCCTGTAGCACTTTCCTGACTTCTTCCTTATTTTTATCTACCCTTCGGTGGAGCACTTGGATACACTTCAATATCATTTTCATGAATTCCTTTTCTTTACGTTGAGGTGTAATCTATATTAAAGGTCATAGTCTTTGACCTTCATCAGTAAGAGCTTCAAGTCCTTTTCATTTTCAGTAACTAAGACTGTATAATCTGCACATCAGAGGTTGTTAATGAGCCCTCTGTCCATTCTGATGCTGCATTCTTTAAATAGTCCAGTTTCTCAGATTATTTGCTCAGAATATACATTGAATATATAGAATGAAAGGATACAATTCTGACACACATCTTTCCTAAGATGTTTTCTTTGATAGACTGAATCTTGGTATATGTACAGGTTCCACATGAGCACAATTAAATGTTCTTGAATTCCCATTCTTTGAAATGTCACCCATAGTTTGTTATGATACACACAGTTGAATGTCTCTATATAGTCAGTAAAACATATGTAAACACCTTTCTGATATTTTCTGTTTTAAGATCCATTTGATACCAGTAATGCAATCTCTCTTTTCAAATCCTCATCAAAATAGGGTTTCAATTTCTGGCAGTTCCCTATTGGTGTATGACTGCAATCACGTTTGAATTATTTTCAGCAAAACTTTACTTGCATGTGCTATTAATGATACTGCTTGATAATTTCTGCATTCTGTTGGATCTTCTTTCTTCAGAACAGGCACAGATAGGATCTCTTCCAGCCAGTTAGCCATGCAATGGGTTTTATTGAACATCTATTGTGTGTGATACACTATATTAAGTTTTGAGGATATATTAACCATTCACTTATTTGATCAACAGTATGATAAAACAAAACCCATTGCCGTTGAGTTTTTGACTCAGGACCTCATGTGTTAGAGAGAACTGTGCTCCATACGATTTTTTTAGTTGCAATCTTACAGAAGCAGATATCAGGATTTTCTATCATAGTGCCACTGAGTGTGTTTGTAATGCCAATCCATAGTAGTTGAGTACAAATTATTTGCACCACCAAGAGAATTGAGTCAACAATTATTAGATGCCCATTTAGATGTTGTTGTTCTTGTTGTTAAATGAAGTTAAATCAGTTCCAACTCACAGTGACCCTGTATAGGGTTTCCAAGGAGCTACTCATGGTTTAAACCTCTGACTTTGTTCTTAACAGTCCATTGCTTATCTTACAGTACCATTCTAGGATCACATTTACATGCTAGGTTCATACATTCGGTAAACAGTACTGAGTGTCCAATAAAAATAACAGTTAACATTTATGAAACATTTGAGTTGGATTCAAGTCTACATCAATGATATGGTTCACTGAAGGACATTCTTGTTGTTCTGGTTAGGTGCCATGGAGTCAGTACTGACTCATAGCGAAGTTATGCACATCAGAATGAAACACTGCCTGATCCTGGGCCAATCTCACTATTGTTGCCACACTTGAGCCCATTGATGCTGCCACTTGTTCAATTCATCTTGCTGGATTCCTCTTTTTCTCTGACCATCCACCTTACCAAACATGTTATCTTTCTCCAGTGACTGGTCCCTCCTGAAAATATGCCCGAAGTATGAGAGTCAAAGTTTTGGCCATCCTGGCCTCTAACTTGCACTCTGGCTGCATTTCTTCCAACACAGATTGTTGGTTCTTTTGGCAGCCCATGGCACTTTCAATATTCTCCTCCAACACCATAACTCAAATGCATCAATTCTTCTATGA